TCGCCCTAATGTTCTCTCTGTGTAGATGAATTTGGGCGGTATGGAGTACCAAATCATGTCACGGCATTGAGGTGGCTCCGTAAGCGGCTTTTGTCAACGAATGTGGGTCCGTAAGCGGATTACGTCAACGACTGGCTCGACTGCGAAATACGACGCCAAACCGAGTGTATACGACGCCCAGTCTAGTTGGTTTCAGTTGGGAGGTTGTTGGCGATTGTAAAGAATCCTGATTATCGGCAGGTGGAGAGTGGTATTGGGTTTACTCGAGTTTATCAAAAGCAGACACCGCAGCTTTTAGGGATTAAGAACCGTGCTTCTGTGTCAAACGCATTTGTACTCGCCACGAGATGGTTCACGTTGTATTGTACAGTCTGTAGAAATGGTCGTGATTGATAATAGAATATGCGCGTAGATTCTCTACCAATGTGAGCCGCATTCAGCTCTCATCATGACGAGCCTCGCGAGCTTAGCGAGTTGGTTGCTTTAGGATGCTGTAGAGAAGAGTGTAGTGGAGCGACGATAAAGGAGTCCTCTACAACACTACTCTATTGATAATTCTCCAAAAGAATATATTTATTTTGCGCGAAAAAGTGTAATTCGAGGTACAATTCATTTTCTGGCATGAGAAAAATAGAGAATTCATTTTTTACAGCAAGTTAAGCGAACCTTGTTCGGACAGCCAGCCAGAAATTCCACTTGATATGTTGTCCACGACAACGACATTGTTCAATCGGATTCAATCAAAATTCAATAATTTGTCGGTTATCCAATCACCGGCTCCAAATTTGTCAGTTTGATGTCGGATGCCACCTACAGTACGATACATGTTGATTTGTCCTCCTAATCTTATGACGAAAAATTATTTAAGCAGGGTTTTAGCCATGGAATAGCCAAAAAAGATGAAAAGCATAATATATAAATGCCATAATCTAAAAAGATAACATCGAAATATGGCATCAAGGTTTTCAACGCACACAGATTGATTGGACAAATCTATCCAATCACAGTGGCATATGCTTATTACTGCGTAGTACTAACTTTCACATAAATACCAAGCTGCTTGCTCTCCAGTACTAACTTTCATATAAACACCAAGCTGCTTGATCTCCAGCGAAATTTGCCAGCGGTGGAGAACTGCCCGAGGTCCAAGCACAAGGCGCTAGGTCATACGCGTCGTAGGAACGTGTTGATTGACCCGAAGCACGATAGCTATGCCTAGCTATAGCTTTGAAGTCTCCGTCATGATGTTCTCGCGGCCTCTCCTCGTACATAATAGCAGTTCGAGCCGTGCCGTGCCGCGAGCAAGACATGGCACGGCTCGCTGTTACCATAGGTATCGTCATGGCTGCCGAAGCGTCTATAGCGGTATGGTGGCATGACCCCAAAGGTATCCTGCGGAAGTGGGATTAATTTCACTGTTTCTGGTGGTGCAGTTGACGAAAACACGCCCACTAATGGCGGCTCCGACTAACCTCGGCGTGGACCTGCAGCCCCAGGGGGTGAGTAGTACAATATATCCAATACTTAGATCAAGTAAAATGTAAGCGAATCATTTTACAGTAAACCTACTTGGCCCAAAACACGACCAAAACATGAAAACCACTTTTTCAAAGTACGACGGAAACGATTCAGATTCGCTCCGTTCGTTTTTTAAAGTTATATTGTCCGTCCTCTTACCAAAAATTTAGACTTTTATACTGAATCGCCAAATCTATCAATCGATTCTTTTTACTGAATTTTGTATGTAAAAAGGTGGCATGTGGTGATTGGTCTCACACTAATTGAAGTCACACACTAATTCGATGTTGGACTGGCTAATCAGTACACTGACGCCACCGTCGCCTCTAGCGGTCGTTGCTCCGCCGCGTCAATGTTGCGCTTGGAGTTCAATAGAATGGTAATTTTAACGTTATGCAGATTGTGTGATCGAAGATGTTTTACTATGCTGTAGTTTTTTTCGGGTAGATTTATAGTAGTATTTGGATTTATTCAGACCCCTCTAAAACCTGCCGGTAGGAGCATTAAGCCCGGGGTAGTCCTATCTAAGGGTATTCGTATAAATATGAGCTACAACTGCGACCAATGGAGTTGCTCTTCGTTTATTTATGCATTAAGTGTGTAAAAATTGATTGATCTACACATTCTACAGTAGTTAGGCAGAAATATAAATGCAAATGACTTAATGTATTAGATCATGCATGAAGTGTGAGAAAAACGATTGATCTACATCTCCCGATCGTACTGCCAGCGAAGTTGCACCGCCTTCGCCTGGGATTCGAAGTGACACTTCAACAACATCCCCAAAGCCAGGGCGGATGGAAACACCAACAGCGAGCCTTTGTAGGCGCACGAAGACACGTCGTTGAAACCGGGGCACAAGCAGTTGCTTGAGCAAGTGGGCCCTGTTGGAGGACGACAAGCGTAAATTAACGCCACTACAAACGCCAAAATCCCAGTGATTTCGTTCACCCAACCGCATCGTTTTGCCATTTCTACATTGTCAAACGAAAGTAAGCAAACAAAATAGTATCTCCAAAACAACTGAAGTTGCACTCACGCTCGTATCGAAGAACGACGTCCAAAGACGATGGGAAGGCCACAAGGACATGGATGTGATTGGCACCTGGGACGACGGGCATAAACACATCGTTAGGCGGGATGGGATCACGGGCACGTGGTGGAGTGGCACTTCTAAAGAAAGGCAGTATCGAATCTCTAACGCTGATGAAACGCTCAAGGATGCCACGGGGAGGTTCGTCATTGTTGCGATCAGCAATTTCGGCACCAGCGTCTAGATCGTGAACACCGCCATAACTGCCGCATGGGGGAAGCATAGCTGCGTCGACCACATGCTCACCTTCAGCGGCGGAGGGTAGTCGCTCCACATTGCTGGGTACAGGTGCAGCTACAACGCCTTGGGGGTCAGCACGGTTAGCAACGAGTGCAGGCGCGTCTCCGAAGACAGGGGATGGTGCCACACGAATGATTGCGGTGGGAGCCATGGGGAGTGATTGCATGATTGAGTTGACTCTGTCCGGTTGAACTTGCTTGGCGACGTGTAACGCATAGTGTGCCATGTCCAACCAGCGGCCTTCAGTATCCTTAGCCACATGGAGGTGTAGCTCGTGTGTTGGGCAGGCAAAGCCGAGATGACTCCTCACCTGCTCCATGAGGCGCCACACAGGTTGTTCGGTGGCGATTTCAACGTAAATGGGTTTC